CCTAAAATGGGGCTCGACCCGAGCTCGAGCCGAGTCTAACTCAGACTTTTTTCGGGTCAAGTTCGAGCCGACGAGCTATTTGCCATCCCTATTTGCGTCTCTTCAATAGACACCATTTATAATACTTGTTTTCTTGAATTATTTCAAATAATTATATTTCCATTTTTTCGATGGTAATTGAGAATTTCAAAATATTTATCTATATTTAATTGATGTTTATAAATGGTTTATAAATATTCAAATTATTCTTTATTAAACACTTCGAGGAACCTACAAATATTACACGTACTTATCCCTAGCTACGTTTTATTTAGGGAAAATTGTAGCTACAGTACCAAACATTCCACTTTTATGCAGACTTTGCCCAAACCTTTCATTTGTGCTACCAAAGGTACCAAGCCTTTAAAAAATCGCAATTCCACTCCAAATTAACAGAAACCATTAGTTTGACTGTTAATTGAGCAAAAATCAAAAGCCCACCAATTGTTGACTATTTTTTAAAGGGCAAATGGATAATTTTACATTTTTCATATAAAAAATTAAAATAAAAGAATTAAAAAACCTCCCAATCATCTTCATCCCATCCCACCCCAACCAAAAAAAATCGCCGAAAGTTTTACCGAAATCTCACCGTTCACCGCTACCTTCATTCCCATCACCCAACCAAGCTGATGCCAGGCCCCGCGATCACATACCCATCAGAATCCAACTCCAGCTGCCCGTCCAAAAACTTGGCTGCAGGTTGATGTCCAATCGCACAAAAAACAACCCAGAAACGTTCAAATCGGTAACCTCCCCACTCACCATATTAAACCTTCAAACACCCAAAGATCTTTGCCTGTACGCCTCTGTCACCGTGGAATTCCACAAGACTTCAATCTTTGCGTTTGACAAAGCTCTGCGCTGCATAATCTTCAAAAAGCCCTAAATTTATCTCTTCGGTGGATAATGTAAACCTTAGAATCGGGGAAGTGGAGGCGTTTGGCTCGGCCCCAACATCGTCGTTGATACTAGACAATCGCTTCACCGATAATTCTTCAAGAAATTCGCAATTATTGAGGAAGGCATTCATGCCTTTGGCCTCGAAACTGCAAAATCCACATGAAAATTTGTGCAATAGGCATGGAGCTTCAACCTGATGAGATTCCCACACTTCATAGAAATCAGAAACAATGTGAAAATGGAGGAGGTAGAAGAGATGGCAGTAACGCCAGCGTGGAGACGGTTGGTGATGCCGGCTAAATCTCTTCAATTGTTTCTTGAT